GTGCTAATGATCCATTGTTGTTGATCCACTCTGAGAAGGTGCTATTTAAGAGACTGAGCTGGATACAGCACCTCAGACTGAGGAAGTCTCTCGGATGAGAGACGAAACGTTTCTATATTTTTTTGCTTTGTTTTGTTTGATTGAATGTCCAGAGGACCAGATTGAACTTTTTTGGATTTTTCTACCTGGATTATTGAGCATGCATCAGGAAACTGTTGGAGCAACTATTAGAAAATGGAAGAAGCTAAACATGACTGTCAATCTCCCTCGGACTGGGGCTCCATGCAAGATCTCACCTCGTGGCGTATCAGTGATCCTAAGAAAGGTGAGGAATCAGCCCAGAACTACACGAGAGGAGCTGGTCAATGACCTGAAGAGAGCTGGCACCACTGTTTCCATGGTTACTGTGGGTAATACACTAAGACGTCATAGTTTAAAATCATGCATGGAACAGAAGGTTCCCCTGCTTAAATCAGCGCACGTCCAGGCCCGTCTTAAGTTTGACCATGACCATTTGGATGATCCAGAGGAGTCATGGGAGAAAGTTCTGTGGTCAGGTGAGACCAAGATAGAGCTTTTTGGTCTTAATTCCACTCGTCATGTTTGGAGGACGAAGAATGATGAGTACCATCCCAAAACAGCATCCCTACTGTGAAGCATGGGGGTGGATGCATCATGCTTTGGGGTGTTTTTCTGCACATGGGACAGGACGACTGCACTGTATTAAGGAGAGGATGAGCCGGGCCATGTGTTGAGAGATTTTGGGGAACAACCTCCTTCCCTCGGTTAGAGTCCTCCTTCTTTAGTGGGACATATATCTGTGCATCATCTGCGTAACAATGAAAGGAGACCCCATGTTTTCTAACAACGTAGTCGAGAGGGAGCAGGTACAGCGTGAAGAGGACATAAAAGAGGATAATAAAATGTATAATTTTTGTTCCAGGTGAAAGTTATGTGCTACTTTGTGTTGGTCTATCAAATAAAATCTCTGTAATAATCGTGAACTTTGTGATTGTAATGTGACAAATGTGGAAATGTTTGTGGTATGAAGACTAAATAGTTGTAGTTTTATTGTTTCTGCTAATCTTCTGTAAGGACGCAAACATCAAGCCTCTTTGCTCACAAATGCTGTTATTGGTTAGTAAGCTTCTTCTCCTGCCTCTGCTTCTATCCCATCTTGTTCCAGACCAAGCTCTTGACACAGTACATTCTGAACCTGGGAAAATACGACCAGAACTACGACATCAGAGACCGGACGCGCTTCATACGACAGCTGATTGTGCCCAATGAGAAGAGCGGCGCACTCAGCAAGTACGCCCGACGCATCTTACTGGCCGCTAAACCTGCTCCGGTTCTCGAGTCTGTTTTCAAAGGTACTTAAGCTGTTTGTAGAACTCTCATCTATCAAAGGTACTTCAGCTGTTTGTAGTACTCTCATCTATGAAAGGTACTTCAGCTGTTTGTAGAACTCTCATCTATCAAAGGTACTTCAGCTGTTTGTAGTACTCTCATCT